TCTGGGACGGGAAAACGGCTGCATGGCGACTTTCCTAACGATGTTCAAAGAGACTATTATCGCATCGAACAGCTTTTTTGATGGCATCCAACAAGTTCGTGGGATCCTCCATAGTGAGCAACAAATCCTTGACACCGTTGTTGAGGCCGAAACGAAATTGATCAATCAGGGCCCGCTCATCCCACTGAGTGTTCAAGGCAAGGAGTTGGAACTCTGCAGCATAGATTGAGGCAAGACGAGACCCCTAAGAGAGACGTCTCATCTTTGTGGTGGCAGCCCAAACTCGATCTATCTCGCCAAAACATGCTTCGAGCTTCTCTTTGAACAACTGAAGATCCATCAGCTCCGGAACCACGACCCCTTTCATGCTCTTCTCTAGGAGAAGAGAAAACCATGACAAAGCTACACCTTCGAGCAACATCCCGATCGTGCCGATTTGAGACTCGGGAGTGGGGTACCACCGATGTTGAAGTGCGAAGATCAGCTCCATCTGGTTCAGGAATCCGCAAAGCTCCAAACGCTTGCCTAAAAATTTCACCGGGAAACTCACCTTTGGTTCAGGAACTTTGCCAGATCCTTGAGCCGAAAGTGAAGTAAGCCCCTACTGCATGTGAAGAAGGGTCGCCTTCAGCTCGGTATTCTCAAACTGGATTTTTGCAAGGACTTCGGCAAAGAAATCAGGATGGCTTGGAGACTCCATCGACAAAGAAGAAAGAAAAAGGGGGAAAAAGGCAAAGGTAGTCAAACAATCAAAACGAGCTAAAACAAAAATAAAAAAACACAATCTAAATCAAATTGTCAAGACCCCCAACAAGATCAAGACTGAAAAATGTAGAAGACAAAGAGAAAAGCTAGTGGAAACGAATAAAAGGCCTTAGACTGGTGTTGATTCAGATTATGGAGAAATGGAACAAGGCTAACCTATATATACTATAGGTTGATAAAACTCCACCACTCTTGGATCGAAGACGGCCTAAATATAGTTGAGGTCGAGGAGGTGCCACGTCATCATCAGGAATGTGGCTTGAGACTCAGGAATCATACGGGAAATTAGAGAGTCAGGAATAGGGAAGTGTCTCGAGAGTCAGGAATAGGGAAGTGTCTCAAGAGTCAGGAATGTGGTTTGCAGGTCAGGAATCTGGCAAGACTCAGGAATGTGGCGTTCGCAATACCCCTGGATGCCCAGCACTTGGCACATCATGACACTCAACCAAAATCCATTTGATGAGTTTATCAACACAAGGAACCACTACACGTCCCTTCTTCACCAAGATTCCATCTCGTATCTCGAATGATGCAAACTTGTCACCCTTTAAATTTGTAGAGGCGTCCCTCAACAAAACCTTCGTCCGAATATCAGTGATAAAGGAGTCAAAGTCAGCAAACTCCTTAAGCTCATCCAAGAGATCGCTGGATAACTTCACGAACAAGATAGAATTTACCATCCTAGATAATGCATCAGCCACCTTATTGTCACCTCATGCTTGTACCGGATCTTAACAGACATTTCCTGTAGGAACTCTTGCCAACGAGCAAGGCGGCCTCGAAGATCCTTTTGAATACTAAAATATTGGAGAGACTAATGGTCTGAATCCACATGGAAGTCTGATCCATATAGATAATGTCGCCATTCCTTCACAGTAGCAATCACAACATACAACTCCTTGTCTCGAATAGGTCAATTCCGCTGTGTGGCATCAAAATTATAGCTCATGTATGCAAGAGGATGCCCAACTTGAAGCAATACGGCTCCAATAGCAATGTCACTTGCATCTGTCTCGACCACAAGAGGCTTTTCAAGATCAAAAATCTTCAACACCAGAGCAAAAATAAAACATTGCTTCAAACGTTGAAATGCCACTTCACACTTCTCATCCCAACCATGAATAGTAGCATGTTTTGACATGTTCTAGAAAAGATCAGTTAAAGGGGCTGCTAGAAAAGTCCTTCACAAATCGTCGAAAAACTCCAGCCATACCAAGGAAACTACGGAGATCATGCACTGTTGAAGGTATAGGCCAATCAACCACGGCCTAAATCTTTGTGGGATCAGCTCTCACTCCATGTACTGAAATCAAATGCCCAAGATATCCAATCTCTTCTAAAAAAATTCACACTTGGATAACTTCGAGTAGAGCTTGTTGTCCCTCAAAAGTTGTAAAACACTTTGCACATGCATCTCATGTTCCTCCACGGAAGAGCTGAATACTAAGATATCATCAAAATAATCAATTGCAAACTTTCCCAAGTAAGGTTGTAGAACTTGATTCATCAATCTCTGAAAAGTTGCAAGAGCATTTGTCAAACCAAATGGCATCACTAAAAACTCATAGTGATTTGTCCTTGTCCAAAATACAGTTTTCGGAACATCCTCTGGCTTGACACAAATCTGATGATATCCTTGCCTCAAATCAATCTTCAAAAAATATCGAGCACCACAAAGATGATCGAGCAAATCATCGATACAAGGGATCGGGAACATATTCTTCACTGTCCTATCATTTAATCCCTTGTAGTTCACACAGAGACGCCATGTACCATCTTTCTTGTTGACCATCACCACTGGAGCAGCCCAAGGAGACTTGCTGATTCGTAACCACCCTTTTCGAAGGTATTCAGCAAGCTGCCTATTAATCTCCTCATCTTCAGCAGGACTAGTACAAGTCGGTTGTCGCTGAAAAGGAGTAACTCCAAGAACCAAGTCAATCTCATGCTGAATTCCATGTTCGGGAGGCAAACCATCAAGTAACTCATCCAGAAAGACATCACGAAACTCCTCCTGAATGGAATCCACCTGAGCCTCATGCCCACAAACGTACTCCAAATCAGATATGATCATATTAGAAAGAAATGGGTACACCACAAAAGACCTAGCTATCTCATGCGAGCATGTCACCAACTCCAAAGTGTTAATCAATGGAGTATCACTATTGTCTGTCCCGACAATCTCTTTTCTAGTGCCACCAACTTTGATACGTAGAACATTACGCTCCCAATCGATCCCTGGCTTCCTGTCATAAAACCATTCCTTCCCAAGAATAACGTCTGTGTGACTAAGATCCATAACCTGGAACGAAGGATGGTCAAGAATCCCCTAAACCGTCAAAGGAACACTCGGAGCCCATTCACCATAAACACGAGTGCTATGTCCATCTGCCATAACCACCTTATAGATTACTGAACTCTTTTTCCACAAGCAAACCATGTTTCTTCACCACCTTGGAGCTCAAAAAGTTGTGTGTAGCACCTGGATCGAAAAGAATACTAACAGCATTACCCTAAATGTCCCCCTTGGCCTTCACAAGTTGATTGCATGTAGAACCATTAATCTCTACAGAGTTGATATGAACTCGAGACTTAGATTCTTGAATTTTTGCCATAGGGTGTGGAAGAGCCACCACAGCAGATGCTTGAGCTGTATCCACAATGGATTCCACCACATTCACCTTAGCATTCTTTGATCCCTTCACAAGAGGACAATCCTTGCCATGATGTCCAACCTTGTAACAACGAAAACAATTGCCCTCCACCTTGTCCTTCTCTCGTTAGTTTAATTGATGTCTTTTTGCCTAATTGCCATCTCCACTCTTCAAGCTACAACGAAACAACAGCTGTTTCTTCCCTAAAGAGGATGTATTGGTGGGTTGGTCATCACGTTGACCACCCCGGAGACCATCCTTTTGACTAGAGTTGACTGAGTTGACCGACTGTTTGGGCGAAAAGATTTGAGCCTTAGTGATAGCATCAGTCAATGTTGCTAGAAAATCCTTCTTGACCTTCTACTGCACATCCATCGAGCTCAATCCTTTGATAAAACATTGCACCTTTAGCAGCTCATTATAGGTGCCTATGAGACTAAGGCAAAGATCACAGAACTTGCGGGCATACGCATCCAAAGACAAAGTCCCTTGTTAGATCTCTAACAACTGGTTCACGAGATCAACCTCTTCAAACTTCTTAACAAACGAAGTGCGGAAAACCTTCATCAAATCTGTCCAAGAAGTCGGCTATGGATTAGCTTTGATGTAGTTCTTCCACCACAAAGAAGCATGGCCCGTAAGCTTCATTACAAAAAAATCTATCTTCACCTTATCCTCACAAGGATTATAAGACTAACAACTTTCCCACAATTCCAACTATGAATCAACCTCTTGACTATCACAAACATCCGGTGATGATTTCCATTCCACGATACCATAATCCTTGGCATGCTTGACGTACCAATGGTAATCACAAACATGAGATTGATTCAACCCTTGAGGGTCCATGCGAAGCAAGAAATCCTTAATGAGATTGACAGAATCCTTAACCTCCTTTATGTCGCTCTGAACTTTAGAAATCTGGCATCCTTGCCGCACAACGACATCGTCAAGAGTCTCTTCCGCATTGTCATAGCTATCATCACTAACGCCATACTCCTTATCAGGATCAATGTCTTGCTCACCCACCATCCCCAAAAGAACGTGCTACTCTGATATCAATGAAACGAACAAGAGAGCAAACCCTAGGCCAACTTCCCAACCCTTAAGGCATTATGGCCTTAAATCCCACAAGCCATAGAATATTCTTGGAATATTCCTGTGGTTCGTGTCATTCAGCAATTGCTAGGGTCACTCATGAACATGGAGTATGCATGTACAACTTGGATCCTCCCAGACAGCCTAATTCAGCTCTACATTGCACTCACGATTCACAGGGATCCATAGGAAGAAGAAATTATTAAATTTTTCCCCTTGTAGCCATACATTAATAATATTCTGAGAATATTCTGAAACACAATAAATAAAAGAAAGAAAAAATTTCAATCTACTGGGTGTTATGGTGAAGCGAGCGTGAGCTAATAATTTCCACCCACATTCTTGATATAGTTAAGTTTAAGTGACGCGATCTTACTACTCAAGGTAGGTGGAGGATGGAAAGTCATATATGCTTGCAATGGAGGAGAGGATATTGGGATCATGTCTACTCAATTTATTCATACGAGTTCATCAGTTATATAATCACTCTGGAGGTGAAGAAGACTCCATCTACAGGATAACCCAAATCATAATTCTCTGTGAACACATGGACACTGAAGAGAGTCCTGATAAGACTTCCAGCCAGACTTCCAGCATGAATTTGTTTCTTCTGCAATCACAATGTTCAAGTCATGCGAGGACTGCTCAAAGTCTTTCTCACCTGTCTGAAGAGAAGAAAATAATAACGGTGGACTCCCTGAACTGGTGTAGGAGATAAGTAAGGGGCAAGATGGTCTCCTTGCTCTGATGCATCTGCAAATTCATTATAAATGTACTCAAGCGGTCCTGATTTCTTTTGGAATGAGAGCTTACTGGTAGATTGAGCTGGGATATTAACTACAATCCAGTGCAGAATGTTCCTCAAGATGGGAATTTGTGGACCGGGAGGATCAGGATCCACCATTACAAGCATAAAAAGGTCTCTATTCCCAGCATTCGTGATGCTCACCTTGGGCTGTAGAAGAACTTCAGCCGGCGAAAACTGCCTTTCTATGGTCACGTTCTGCTATCCGTTGTTACACGACACACCTCGCCACGTGTCCATTAGGGTTTTCCTGTTCTGTCCGCTAGCGCGGTGCGCTTTGATCCCGATTTGTCTCATGGTATCGGAGCTTTGGCATAAAAGACTTAGTCATGTTCATTACCAATCTCTTCAACGGATGAAATCCCAAGATATCGTTACTAGATTGGATTTCCAACGTATCCCATCTACATTTTGTGAAGTTTGTGTTTTAGGCAAGCATCACCGCCGGAACTTCTCACCGAGTAAGCATCGAGCACTTGGACTTCTGGACTTAGTCCATTCTGATCTTTGCGGCCCCATGGACGTGCCAAGTCATGATGGCGCAAGATATTTCATCACATTCATTGATGACTATAGCTGTCGAACATGCATCCACTTCTTGATGCGTAAGAGTGATGCAGTTGCTGCCTTTCAAACGTACAAGGCGTACGTTGAAAACCTCCTTGGTCGAAAGATAAAAGCTCTTCGAGTTGATGGTGGTGGCGAATACCTCAACAATGAGCTTCGGGGCATCTGTCATGATGTAGGCATACGACTGCAAGCTACAGCCCGCTACACCCCCCAGCAAAATGGTGTTGCAAAAAGGAAGAATCGTACTCTTGTCAATGCTGCTCGTGCTTTGTTAGCTGATGCACATCTTGACAAGATGTTTTGGCAAGAGGCCATAGCCACAGCAATGCATGTACAAAATCGCCTTGCCACGGCTGCTTTGGATGGAAAAACCCCTAAGGCATTTTGGACAGGTTCTACTCCTGATGTGTCCCACTTTTGGGTCTTTGGTTGTGCAGCATATGCACATACCCCTGATCAACTTCGGAAAAAGCTAGATCCCAAGAGTAAAAAATTCATCTTCGTGGGATATGCACAGGACGACACTATCGGGAGAAAAGCTTACAAGTTGTGGGATCTTGCCTCTCACAAGGCTATTGTAAGCACAGATGTCATGTTCAATGAAGACGACTTTCCCATGCGTACAGAGGCTCTTCAAGATCCTTCTTTTATTGCTGAGACTCGACTTGTTCCTTTGATCCCACTTATGGGAGATGGTCCACTCTTGCCTCCGCCTCAAGATCCTATTTATGAGTTGCCACCAGAGATTCCATTGGGGAATCCTCCACTTCTGGACATGCTTGAACCAGCTGATGCTCCTCTAGTTGAGGACAGGCCTCCGACACCTCCACCACCTTGTCGACGTCGTGGCATGCCTGATCCGATGCCAGTTCTTGATCACCCCCGGGAACGTCGGCCCTCGTTAAAAGTCCGGGAAAATGCTGAAGCAGATGCTGCAAAGCTTGATGACTTTTGTGGCCTTATTGACATCGGCATCCCCATGACCTATGATGAGGCTATCTCAGGACCTGAGGCTTCATCTTGGATGGAAGCTATTGCGGAAGAAGTTTCTTCCATTCGGGCTAATGGAACTTATGTTCCAGTTGATTCAGCGCCACTGGGACGACGTGTTTTGGATCCAAAATGGATTTTTTCCAAAAAGTATGGGAAAGATGGCCAGGTTGTACGTTATAAGGCACGGTTGGTTGTTTGTGGTTTTCGCCAAGTCCATGGCCTTGACTACGATGAAACATTCTCACCGGTTGTAAAAATGGCTAGCCTCCGTACTCTTTTTGCCCTTGCGGCTGCTCGCAAATGGCAAGTCCACCATATGGATGTCAAAACTGCATTTCTGAATGGGGATTTGCAAGAGGACATCTATATGCATATACCTCCTGGTTTTGAGGACGATGTTGCCCCTGGTGGCCCTATATGGCAATTGCGGAAAGCTTTGTATGGCTTAAAACAGAGCTCTCGTATTTGGTATCAAAAATTTGATGCCACCCTACGTGCTCAAGGCTTTCGTCGCTGTCATGCTGATCACAATGTGTATGTCAATGGTCATGCTGAGCGCATGGTTATTGTGGCCCTCTACGTTGATGATTTGCTCATCATGGGTGATGACAACGATGCCATTGCTGCTCTGAAAGATGCTCTCAGCCAGCAATTCCAGATGAAGGACCTTGGCCGAGTCTCCTACTTTCTTGGCTTTGAAGTCACACGTGATCCTGATTCTGGTGGCTACATGCTTAGCCAACGACGTAAAGTCGAAGTCTTGCTGGATCGGTTTGGTATGCGTGATTGCCACCCCGTCAAGACCCCGATGGTTGTTGGTGCTATCGACCTCACAGTTGAGCAGTCTGGTGAGCCTCTACCCACTGGGACTCCCTATCAGCATCTCATTGGTTGCCTCACATATTTGGCCCTGATGACTCGCCCCGACATCACATATGCAACTATTGCCTTGAGTCAATACAACACATCACCAACCACCATACATTGGCAAGCTGCCAAGCGTATCGTGAGATACCTCCGGGGCACTATGGACTATGGCATTGCTTATTCAGGGGGTGATGCATCATTAGCATGCTACACAGATGCTAGTTTTGCCAACAACAAAGGTCATCGCTCGACTTCTGGCATTTGCCTTTCCTTCTCAGGAGGTGCCATCACGTGGGCCTCCAAGCGACAATCTGTGGTGGCCCTTTCTAGTGCAGAGGCGGAGTACATCGCACTCACTACTGGTAGCAGGGATGTGGTCTGGGCTCGAGGGTTACTTGCTGAGTTGGGATGTGCACAAGCTGGCCCCACTACTTCTTGGTGTGACAACCGAAGCAGCATTGCCATGTCCAAGAACCCCGTCCACCATGCCTGCTCGAAGCACATTGAAGTCCAATTTCACTATGTGCGTGAGTTGGTTGACGGTGGCACCCTCGCCGTCCAACATCTTGGGACACAGGATATGCCAGCCAATCTTCTCACTAAGCCGTTGGGGCCACACCAGTTTCAGCTCCTACGTGACAGATTTGGTTTGGTGAGTGGCTTCGGTTTGGGGGGGAGTGTTACACGACACACCTTGCCACGTGTCCATTAGGGTTTTCCTGTTCTGTCCGCTAGCACGGTGCGCTTTGATCCCGATTTGTCTCATCTGTAAGCTACCCGAAGTGAAGGTCGCGGGAAATGAAACGAATCGACCCAGTCGGGAATCACCGTCTCAAACGGATCAATAGCAACACCCGGAGACGACAATACGACGATCAAGCAAGTTAAGCAGTACACAAATCCTGCAAGGGCCATTGGTGTTTTCGGTGTAAACTCAAAGAGCACAAGTAGCAAAGAATTTTTTTCCGTACATCTTCCAGTTGAAATTGCTGCAGGATCACCATACTTTTGTGGAAATTTTCATCCACGCCAACAAAATCTATAAGTTGTTTGTAATAGTACGGTATCGAGAGTACCGTAACTACATCAATGAAATCATGGCTCGCATTATGCTGGAATCATTTCAGGCATCCTTCTAAGAAGCTGGCTAGCATCCTTAATCTCCTCATATTCCATGTACGCTTTTCTCATGCATGATAGATTGTCCAGGGATACATTCTGCAGTCTCAGACAAACCACAATAACAGCATGAAACGCTTCACAGCTGAAAAGTGACTAATCGAACTCACTAGCACGTGAAAAAGTAATATTCTCCCTGATCTCCCTGAATCTCTCCTTGGCAACTTCTTCTAGCGTAATCGTGAACCAGAGACTGCATGCCTTCTAAAAAATGACTTCCGGTTTAGGGTTTATGTATACCAACTGGTTTGGCGGAAGAGCTGAATTGGTTCCCTTCAGTATAGCTGGAAAAAGAAACGCTTACTACATCGATGATTAAGCGAAAGAGCCAACGTACATCTCTTTCAGGCTCGGATGGCTGTAGAAGGCTGACGACAGTCGGCCATTCAAAGCATTGTGATCCAGGTATCTACGAGAAAAACGAGCTTTTGCGTGAGAAAAATTCACAGGTAGGTTAGCTTCGGGATGCTTGCGATTGCGTCCGGTACCGGACCTGTAAGTTTGTTGTAAGACAAGTACCTGCATAGCCACGGGGGGAATCAGCAGGCGAGGACAACTCTAGCGTCGAGCTTACAGGATTTCTAGATTGCGCAAGTACGAAAGTTCTGCTGGTATTCCTCCGGTGAGGTAATTGTTGTTTAGGTACTTGTGGGGACGTCGAGCTTAAGACTCCAAGCACAAAAGAAGAAAAGCTTACAAATTTCGGAGAGATGGAAATGCATCTTTAGCACGATTCTGTTCGCTTCTTAGCAGTTCTCTGATGGTTCCCACAAGATGATTGTTGCTGACATCCCTGCGAGAGAATAATATAAGAAAATTGGATGAAACTGAAGCTTAAAATTGTCGGAGATAAGGAAGTTCTCCAAACTCCGGAGGGATCCGGCCGATAAGCTTGTTCTCGTGAAGATGCACGTATCGAAGCTCCTGCAGATACGTGAGCTCCTTCGGTATAGGTCCTCTAAGGCTGTTAAAACTTAAAAACCTGACAGACAGACACGATGAAAGAAAGAACTTAGAACAGAAGCGAAACTCTACTCACAAGTTTTGTAGTTTCTTCAGCTGCCCAATCTCAAGAGGTATGGCGTCTTGCAGCTTGCTCCATCTCAAGTTCCTGCAAAGAAAAAAGCAAAATAAGTCGAGAATTTTTCGGCCAGACCGCTAACAATCACATTACAGGGTTACAAGCTTCTCCAACCGTCCTATTTGAGGAGGAATCGGTCCGGTGAGTTTGTTGCCATGCAAGTCCCTGCAAGAGAAGAACGCAAGAACTCAGTAAACGAAAACCAACACCCACCAACCCACAGTTTCCTGAGATCCAGCAAATTTGTGACACCGATCGGGAACGTTCCAATGATCGACACTTTAAAGAGCTCCCTGGAAAGAAAGAAGAAAGTGACGATTAAAACTCACAATTCCGTGACCACTCGATAGCCATCGTCATTTGGGGAGGAACAAGTGATTCCCGGCCACAATGCCGCGTCTCCATCCCCACAGGGATCCAAGCGTACATAACCTTCCATCCTCCAGCTGCCTTGAGCTCGTTCAATGCCTTGACTGGAATTGGCAAGACGAAAATGCAGCTGGAGAGGATCTTGCTTCACCGTCTTGGCAGCTGCTAGAATGGCAATCCAGAGCCCAAGAACGAAACCAAGGAGCCCCATCTCAAGAACCCTAGATTTTCATTTTTGAAGCAATGAATCGCTACTGTAACATTTTCAACATTTGTATGGAATCGCTATGTTTTTCACTGGATTCTCAGTTGAATTCGCTACCCACGCAGTGATGGCACGTAAAGAGATTGGTAGGATCGACCCTGCGCTTGATGTGGTACAGGCGAGGATAGTTCTTCCCAAAGAAGGATTGCTGCCAATTGGGCTCGTTGTAATCGGCCTCGTTCACGTAAGTCCCGGAGCCCGGCGTGAGATCGATGAAGAGCTTGTTCGCCTGCGACACTAGATTCGCAGCAGCCCTCATCTCCGCCACCGTCGCATTGTCCCGCCAAGTCAGGGGCGATACGAGCAGCCACAGTCCGTCGCGATACGCCGGATTCACAGCGCTGTCTTGGGGTTCTCGCACTTTTCCGCCCCCCAGGATCGCATACGTAGCTGGAACTTGCAGCTCGGTCATGACGCGCATCATGGCCTTTGGGAGGAGGTCTTGTTCGTGGTCGAAGAGCGATCTCGGGATCAGCCTCGTTGCGAAGACATCCGAGACTCCCAAGTTGTTGAGGCCCAAGCACGATTCTTGCCCTCCACATTGAAACTGCAAGTGCCAGTCCCAGTACGAGGCATACGTCTCCAAGCTCCCGTCGATCCGGATGTTGTTCTCCCGCGCGTACGATAGCAGCGGGGCCAAGGTGGCGGAAGCATACGAGACGTTCCGGTTGGGCAGCAGGAACGTTAGCGTCAGGCTCTGGCTCGTCGAGAAGAAGTAGCCAGACCAGCCGGCATCGGACAGAGAGGGATTCAACCTCGTAAACAGAGTGAGCAGCCCCTGAAAGGTGGTGGTATCGGGGGCGCTGAAGTTGTGAGGAGCGAAGACAAGGCTGTCAAGAGCTGGAAAAGTCCTGTGCGTCGCCGAGAGCACAACTCCGAATGTTCCTCCGCCGCCACCCCGGAGAGCCCAGAACAAGTCCGTGTTTTGGCACGCATTTGCTTTGACAAGCCTACCATCCGCGGTCACCACCTCGTACTCGAGAACGTTATCAGCGCTCAAGCCGATTAGCGGGGAAAGGAAACTTTGGCCGCCACCTTGAGGGTATCCGCCGGCTGCTCCAACCGAGGAACATCCCCCGCCAGCCAGGATCATCTTTCGTTGATACGCTTGCCGATAGAGCTCCTCCCACTGAATTCCAGCACCCACCGTCACTGCCGAGTAGCCACGGTCGCTACCAGGGCCGCATTTGAAGCTCTCGTGGAACTGGATCTTCTGGAGGTGGTGCACCCAAATGCTGAGAGCTCCCACCGCCGTGCTCCGCCCGAGGAAGTCATGCCCTGTGTTTCGTATCACGATGCGCAAGTCGTGCCGGGACGCAAACTTGACGGCCTCTTGGACGTGGGCCGCCCGAGTAACGTTGACCGCGTAGACCGGGACCGCGCCCTGGAAGCAAGCGGCGGTCCTGTTGGAGGAGATCAGGCAGCGCTGCTCCCCAAACGATTCCCAGCTCGTCCGTTGCAGCGCACCCGGTTGATCGGTCCTCCAGAACGGACTGTTCCAGCCGCTCCTCACGGTGTTGCAGGCTCGCTCGTCGTAGTTTGGATCATGGCATGGCGATGCTGGAGGGGCCACGCTGATCATTCTCCCTCCCACGGAGCGATTGAAGGATGCCCAGGTCTGTGCGTCTGGCCAGCACAGCTCGCCCGCTATACACTTGGAGTGGACATGGCCGGGAGCAAATAGAACGACCAAGAATATCGATAGTATCGCTATCATCCTTGAAGAACCTTTACAGGGCTGAGAGAAAGAGAGCTATGCTTTCTTTTGCTGATCGATCTCGAGATGTAGCTTTGTCAATGACTTTGGCACTGCAAGCAACCATTTATATATCACTTGGAAGCCGCGGTTTTCATTCACTCGCTGGGTTTGACATTGACATGTTCTTTAGAGGGCTGAAAATTCGAGCAATGGCGCCCAGGCGACTTTTCACACGCTGAGATATCAAAGTGGCGTTTGCGCGGTGAACAAAGGTCATGCATGGACATCAGTCGACGTGTTGTTTGAATGAATCGTCATGGTTATTGATTGATAATACCTCACCATTCCAAATTGACCGAATGTTTCAGAATCTTCTCTAAGCGCTTTCGTGGATGTCACATTTGCGCGTCGGTCAAGCTAGTCAGGAATATATTTAAGCAGCCGTCTCGGGATCAAAGTCACAAGTCTTTGCAAGCAATCCAGGAATCATGGGCGTGATAAGCTACTTCACAGGATGCCGCGGCGCTACAGGCTTTGGATCGGGAGCTACAGCCGAGAAAGTTGCAAAGGGGATTTCTCTGGAATCCAAAGTGGTAATCGTCACAGGTATGCCGATTCCATCGGTAGTTTGCTTCGATTTCTCATCATCAAGCTACAGGGGCTACCTCCGGAATTGGGTTTGAGACGGCCAGAGTTCTCGCCAAGCACGGTGCGCACGTTGTTATCCCAGCCAGGAAGCTACAGAACGCTGAAGCAGCCAAGTCCAAGATCCAACGCGAATTCCCTAATGCAAGGGTCACTGTTCTTGAGCTGGATCTGAGCTCCCTCAAGTCGGTCAGGAAATTTGTCGACGACTTCAAGGCTCTAAATCTCCCGCTCCACATCCTCATGTGAGTCACTCCTGTTAGTGTTTCTGATCAAAATGCATGGATCAATGCAGAAACAATGCTGGGATGACGGCCAATAACTTCCAGCTCTCACCGGATGGCTTGGAGCTCGATTTCGCGACAAACCATATGGGTATGGTGTTCAAGTTTTGTCTGTTAGAAAAACCTTCACTCTGATGATCCAGGTCCGTTTTTGCTCACTGAGCTGCTGTTGGACAAGATGATCCAGACTGCATCTCAAACTGGAGTGCAAGGTCGGATTGTCATGGTGGCGTCTGAAGGTCACAGATATGTTCCAAAAGGCGGGATTGAGTTTGACAAGCTGAATGATAAGAACAGGTTAGTCTTTTCATTGATAATTAGGAGGAAGCATTTTGGTTTTCCTTGCAATCTTCCAATGAACTTTCTTTAACTCTCGTCGTGCAGCTTCCAATGGATTACTAGCTACGGAAGATCCAAACTGGCCAACATACTGCATACCAGGGAGTTAGCAAGCCGCTTGAAGGTGTCCATACATTCAAAGTTTTTGTGCTCGAGTTTTCCCAGACATAATTTTGATGATCTTCCATTTCAGGATAAGGGTGCCAACGTGACTGTAAATTCACTTCATCCTGGAACTATCAAGACGAACCTTGGAAGAGATTTCAACCAGACTTCAGCTAGTAAGTTAGTATCTGAAAAGAATTGAGATTGATCGACTTGTGCTGCTGTGCAGAGCTGCTTCTCTTCCTCGCCAGCCCACTTTGCAAATCCATCCCGCAGGTACAAACATATCATAGCCTACGTTTCTGGATTAAAGCTGTGATTTCTTTCAGGGCGCTGCTACAACCATGCTTCTTGCGGTCCATCCTTGCATGGAGGGCGTGAGTGGAAAGTACTACTTGGATTGCAACGAAGCGGATTGCACCCCTCATGCCAAGGACATGAAGTTGGCTGCAGAGCTGTGGACTTTTAGTGAGGAGTTTATCAAGTCTCATCCTTGAGTTACATTAATATTCTTTCAAAGTTTTGGCCTGCATTTATTTTTGAATGAGGGAAACATTTTTCAAAGAAAAGCTAAACTTCTTTCTACATTCAATAGAGTCAGTTTACTCTGAGTTTGGACCATTTTGATGGCAAACCAGTAAAGTGAACGGGCCAGGAAAAGCGTGGCAACGAAGCAGGGTGACGACAACGACGGTAGAGACGTGGGAGTAGTTCTGTTGCGCCTCACTCATCGGGCATACCTTTTGGATTCATGCTTCTTGGAGGCCGACACAAGACCATGTATAAACACCATTTCATGGAATCTCTGTACTTATGGTTTATCAATCAGCCTAAGAGTACCTCCTTCAGAGTGACCATGACTTGGAGCAGAGTCTTCCAAATAACAGTCCCAGCAGTATCTCGTTCTAAATGCTTCTCCTCCCCTCTCCCCCAGAAAGCTCCAATTGAAGCTGTGAATCAAGTTGGATACCAGCAGCTGCACCATTTGTAATCCTAGTATCATCCCCTGACAACCCCTGTGACAAGAGTCAAATGGAAGCAGCCCATAGTCCTGGCTCTTAACATCCAAGAATTCTTGAAGAACCTCTCCAGCATGAACTTAAATGGTTCATCCCACACTGCTGGATCCCTTCCAATGGCATAGACGTGCAAGAATGTGGTTGCACCCTTTGGAACATCAAATCCTCCCAACTTGCAGTTTTGAGATGCAGGCATTCCTAGTTCATAGAATATTTTCAAAATATTTTTGTGGTTCGTGTCACTTGCATGACCTAGCCTTGAGAAGCTAAACAAGCCTCACATAAAGGGAGTTTAAGGCAATATTGCCATGAAAAAAAGATGTGCAAATAGTAATACAACATTGTAATAAAACGAAAGAAAGAAAACAATATTATAATGTATGTAGTTTTCACTTTTTTATTTTATAGTGATTTACCATAGGATAACCACGAAGCAAAACCTAAACCCTTTATATGCCATGTGTTACATACCATGTGCCATATGTTATGTGTCTAAGGGACAGCAGAGTAGAACCCAAGTTTTAAGGCCTTAGGCCACTGAATGAAAATATAGAATTAAAACTCCTAAGTGTGAAGCTAAAGAGCAAAAGAAGTGGAGCATGAAATAACTCCCAAACATATAACCCAAGGAACCAAAAGACAAGAGCATGGAGCGATATAAGAATATTCCTAGAGCATATAATTTTCCAATACCAAGATCAACATAAAACAAAGCTAAACTAAGTTTAGCGTAATCTAGTGGCATAACACAAGGATATAAATATTCCACTAGCTAGTGCTATGGAACTTAGGCTTAGACTCAAACCAAATACAGAACAAGGACAAGCACAAGCACACAAATAAGAGTTAGACTATGCCTCAGGTTCGTCAGCCAACCCATTATCCCTACTATACATTTGGAACCTCCTACCCCCGCCCACCCCCATTTAAGAATACACACTTTGGGCTTGCACCCTTAATACCAAAAGTTAGTATCTGGGATAAGCTTGAAATTTATTAAATATAGAATGGTGTTAAATTGTGAATTCGGATGTGGGAACAAATCATATTCAAGACAATCTTTACACTCTATAGATATGTTTAACTAATAAATCTAGACACTTTCCATTAAGAGTCATAAGACCAAATATGACCAACATATAGAATATGATAGTGAAGATATTTGGTAGACACAAGAAGATATCATGTGGCAATATTGAGGAATTAATCTCAATACATGGAAGTTCTTGTCACTAGTCAATGCAAGACACAACAAGATGGGAACTCCTTACCAAGTTAAGTATATTTAGCTAATAACACTTAAGAATTCCATCCTTATGTTCGTCCAGTTTAAATACACTTGAAATGCTTAGTTAACTCCACTAGCACAAGAGGGACTGATAAAGGGTCCAATAATACCAACTTCTTGCTATCATAGCAATAAGAAAAGAATATTCAAAAAGACTCACTAACAAGTAACTTTTAATACTTGCAATCACATTCGTAACAAATATAGTTTTCTCGCATGATAATATAATCATAAAAACAAAGGAATAAATGACTCAAATTATATAATAATACAACTATAGAACTCAATTCTCCCCTTCCTTAGGAATATCATCTAAATCTTAACCAAAACTTGAAAACACTCTTTTCACATTATCGTCAGTTTCCCATATAGCTTTGTACATAAAATAACCATTCCATTGAATTAACACCTTTTGAGTTGTCTTACAACATGTTTTCACTAGTCTTTGAGCAAGAATATTGGTTGGATCAACTTTCTCAATAGATGATGGATTGATTCACAATATCACTAGAGTGCAAACTCAATTTAATTTTGGTCATATAGAACGTTAGATGAATCTTCAAACTAGCTGGCAAATCTAAAGTGTAAAAAAGATCCCCCATGTGCTGTAAAATTGTCCAAAGCCTGCAATACCATAGAGACAATTCACCATTGCCACCTCTTTTTAGAAATCATTATACATTTGATAGTTTAAGGAAAATCTTGTCACTAACTTTGTACTCCTAATGACGATAATTCTCATTAACAAATATGAAACATTTGAACTAAAGCCAAAGTCAAATTCATAAAAGACCTAGGCTCATAGTCATATATTGCCATGAACAAAGATATGCCAATAGCTAATTGATGAGCGCTATTATGAGCAAATTGAAGTAAAAACAAATACTTCTCTTATTCTTCTTGACAAATTAAATTTCTTATAAAAGACCTCAACATATCTTTCAACAGCTGATTCATATGTTTTGTCTACCCATATGACTATGGATGCTTACCATTACTCATGCTTAGCTTAGTCTCTAGTTTCTCAAATATCATTTACCAAAACTTGGATATGAACTTGGGATCCTAATCATTTACAATGTCACCTGGCAAACCATAAAGGCTGAATAATTGATTTACAAATAATTAAGCAAGTTTAAAAGTTTTAATTGTCATCTTCACTAAGAAAAGGTGAGACATCTTCATAAAAATTCCATCGTTTCCTCAAAAGGTTTTTGGTAAACTAGTGATAAAGTCTATCAAGATGCTATCCCATTTATTCTAAGTGAGTTTCTAATGATCAATTTTGACTACTTGCCAAGTCAAATAACCATGTTTATACTTCTCAACATCTAACTT